CCGATTAGACTTTCTGTGAAAAAGCCCATCATCCAATGCAGATCACCGTGAGAGGCAGGAAAGTGGGCAGGCTATGGTTAGATGAAATGCAAAATCGGGAGGAAAAAAAAAAAAAAAAACACAACATACAAAGGTTCAAATTTTAAGCACCAAATCAAGCATTTAGCATCTGCATTGCAATAGCATTAGTAAACCCTGAAACACAGCGACTGATTTAAGTAACATTCCAAAACGATTTTACATTTTAAAAGAGCAAGCTGAGAGATCACCAAAATGTGAGCTGATTTTCAAGTGGTTTGATATGCAAAAATAGTATTTTATATTCACTTACTAGATGAACTCCAAAGGCTTTTAAACAGCATTACAGCAACTCGGAATCCTTCCACAACTATACTGTAGCAGGAGGAATTCAATAAAACCATCAGCGATACCAGAAAGAAGTCAATGTTTGCTCACTGCTTCACACCCACCACTGAACACTGCCAGATTTGCTCTCAGCTGCTGCTGCCAATGCACATGTGCAGAATTATAAAGAAACTTCCTGCTCACACAGATCCCATCACATTCTTAACAACAGTAGTTAATAAATAAAAAGGCTTTTGTATCTTGTGTAACAGCTAATTATATTCATGCTACTTGCCTCCCCCCAAAGTAAAGCTGTACTCCACCAACCACAGATGTATAATTGCCACTACATCAGATAATAACTGAAGTGCAATGGCGTTATAAAAGTACACTGAGGTAACAGACAGGAAGAAATTATCAGTAAAACTATGCAGCTTGAGAAGTTCACATTATAAATCCAGAGCAGCTTAACAATTGTCACTGCTGTTAAAGCCAGACTTTGGAACAGAAGTCAAGCTACCACAGACACACCAAAAAAAAAAAGCAAACTATAAATACATAATGCATTTAATTTATTATACATAAGTTATCCTATTACATACATTTATCATCAGCCTGCTTCTCTGCCTCCTGAGCAGGTAAGCAGAAATTCACATTGGAACTCAACACCTTACAGAATGGCCCATTCGCTATGGAAACACTGCCTCTGTCATAATGATGACCACGTGCCACCAAAATAAAGAACAGTCTTAGCATCCCCACTGAAGGAGTAAGACATCTTAATGAAGAGTTCAATGACTCTTTGAATTACAAGGGAAGAGGGGGAGAGAAAAAAAAGGGGGAGAGGGGCTAGAAGAGAGGGGACTGCTAATGAGATCTCCTCCACAACCCATTCTTGTCACAACTTGGTCATGACCAAATCTGAAGATACTACCAGAATCACAAGGTTAGAAATTACATTGCAACCTAAAAATGAGGTAACACAATGACAATAAAAGAGTGACAAGACAACAAAAGATTTAATCAAATGTGAAGTTCAGCAAAAAGTGGAAAAAAAAAAAACCCTTTCAAATATACATGCTTAAAAAAACAGGCGGCAAATAAAGGAAGAAAGAACAGCATTCATAAGATTCCAGCTTTCATCTTTTCAATTTTGTCCAAGTATTATTATCCTACACAGCTGAGCACAAATTTTAATCCCGAACACGCTGCAGGGAACACACTGAACGGAAGAGATATATGAAGAGAGCAGGTAGGGAGACTGGAACCTGGACAATCCATTCAGGGCTCCCACCAGATCCTCTGTTCTGATCGAGCAGCTGCCCCACCCTAACATCCTTACAAAGCTCCAGATAGCAAGGAAAATAAAACCCTCAATACCAAAAAGCCTCTGCAGGCACAGTCTTTGTTACAAGCTGTGTGAACATGAACATAATGCAGTATCTTTATTTTAAGCTCAAGTTTTCTTTTTTCTAAGACAAACGTACAGTATAAAATTTCACGCATTCACCAAGTGAGACAGCTCAAGAGCAGCCTTGTTTGTTACTATCAGAACTATTAATTTCACTATAATCAGAATATAGTCCTAGATCCAGGTGCAAAATACTGCCAATTTCTTGCACTGAATGACTCCACCCATATGTTGCAAGCAGAACAGGCTTTCAGCACTATCATCACTTAAACTATGGGGTTTAAGGCTTAAAAAAAAAACAGCTTTACAAAAAATAGATGCAGGAACAAACAGATTCTCTTTTAGGCTGTAAGAATACACAGAATTCATCCGAACTGACCAAACTCTCACAAATCCCAGCAGTTGGCTACGAGGCCAGTACAAAACTATAAAGCCAAATTTGAATTTGCTAAAGCCTTCAGGCAGGTCATCATTCCCAAAGTCTTTGCAGGTAAAATTTAGAATTTGAAGAAGGTAATGGTCAGCAAGAGACTCAAAATGACTTGCCCAATTCTACTGACTTTTCAGGGAACAATGCAGAATTCCTGGATTCTCTGCCTGGATACTATTTTGACACGAAACATACAGCCCCTCTGCTGAATAACTGATATATTCATTACTTTAAAAACTGCATGACAAGTAACAAATCTCCCTCTTTAATGGCCCTTCACAGAAGATTAAATACTCCTTCAATTCTGTATCTCCTCCTCAAATGTCCCGGATAAAGTGTTATTTTTTTTAGCTCTTAAGTAACAGTTTCCACATTTGAAATGATTAATAAATACAGAACTGGGCCTGCAGTACAAGGGGGGGGGGGAAAGAAGTTAAAATGGTTTACCATCTTCCACCCTCACAGATGCAAATACTGCCTTGCCCTGCCAGAAGTCGATTCACTCTCATCCTAATGGCTGCTAGACTTTTGTTTCGTGCGTTAACATGGCAGCAAAACATAACCTGGTGTTATGCACAGGATTTAAGGACAACTTGAAGGCATTCTTCTACTGATAGCAGTTCCTCTTCCTTAGAGCTACAGCTTCTTAGGGCAGGGTTGGGGAGGGGAAACCAGAACAAGAACCAAAGAGGAATAATAACAAAAATCAAAACTAGAAGAGGCTTGGCAGATTTTACTCACTTTCTACCGAGTCCTAGAATAGGGCATCACTGCTGAGCTATAAACATTTCAGCAGAGATCAAAAGGTTGAGTACCTGAAAAGGGGAAAAGCACCACAAAAAGCCTTCACACACACGACAGCTGCTGTCTGTTCCAAATGCATGGAACATTTCTTCAGCCTCGCCTGCTTTTGCAAACATGCTGTTACATACATGAGAAAGAGAACTTCATTGCTTGCACAGGTCTCCTGTTACGAGCCATAAATGTTAAATTAAGTCTTTTTATGAGCTATTAGAAGGTCCTTCAATGTTACAGTGCATACAGCAAGAGCCCAAACTGACTCAGCAGATACACACTGTCATTTCCTAAGCTCAGATGTTCTGACACATTGTCCATGTCAGAATCTGCAAGCATTAGAATGATCAGGAGTTTCTCCTGGTCCACATCTTTAAATGTAACCATGAAACACTCAACCGATTTTTCTAAAATAGTATTGTGAATTTCCAGTTTGATGCTTTCAAAACATCGGGATATTCGATTCCTTGTTGTAACATTGTCAAGACAAGGAAAGGGTTCCTACAGTGCTAGACAGCATGCAAAACCCAGGCAAAGCAGGTAAGAAAATACTGTAAATACCTTCAAAACTATGCAGCAAAGAACACATAAAGCAGTTTAATGGTAATAAGCAGTAAAAACAAAAAAAAAAGGAAACAAACAGACTAAGACAGTGAATTTGTTAGAATATAGGCCCACAAAGCAGCTTTTTCTTTTCTTTTTTTTTATGCTGGCAGATTAAACTGCACAGAAGACAGAAAAGCTTCAACCCTAAATGCTAATCCACTTCAACAATTTATTCCGAAGTCACAGACTATTCCATCCCTGAGGACATTTGGGAATACGTGCCTGAAAAAAAATAAAACTGTGTTGCATTTTATATAGTCAGTTTCGTTTTGCTTCAACAGGCAAGAGTGATTTGGTACTATTCACTTTCTTCATTCGTTACCTTTTTCCCCTCCCCTGTTCAAATTTAGAAGTGCTGCCAGACCATGCAACTCCAGAGTAAGAATTAAGTATTAAAAGTTCAAGTTGCAGGGGTTGATTGCAGTTATTTTGTGGTTGGGTGTTTTTTTTTCAAAACCTGGAAGAAGTCCCCTAACGCTGGAGCATCTCACACTAAAGCAACTTTTTGGTAGCAAGAAACACTTAAAACGCTTAAACCCCTAAGGAGCTTGCAAGAACAATGGAAGCAGACACACTGACAGATTCCTCAGAAAATACATTTAGTCACAGGATGGAGTGCCGTGCCCATAACCTAGTGCTCTCGATGCTAGCGCTTCTTTCTTATTCACACAAGATTTAGTGACTACCCTTCTTTAACTTCTTGAGAACAACTCCGCTGGCAGGGAGCTACCAGGCTAACGCTGTCAGCGCGCCAAGCCCCATCGCAGGGGGGAACAGAGCTGATCCACCGTGGGAGGAGGGAACAGGCTCGGCAGACAACTCTACTCGAGGAGCCAAGAAACCCCTGCAGGCTGCCAGGGCTGCCTCCGAGGTCCCAGCCACGCAAGTGCACCGCTTGACAGCTCCCTCCGAGAGGCTCTAGCAACTTCTGCGGCGCGCCCGCCGCTGCCCACACGAGGAAGTTCCCGCTCCCGTACCGGTGCCAGAAGGTTCCTGAAGCCTGACGCCACACTGTCCCTACCCCTCAACCACCTCCGAACCGGAGACCCGGCCTGGGCCGCTCTCCCCGCGGATGAGGGGCCGCTCTCCCCGCGGATGAGGGGCCGCTCTCCCCGCGGATGAGGGGCCGCTCTCCCCGCGGATGAGGGGCCGCTCTCCCCGCGGATGAGGGGCCGACACCCCCCCCCCCTCACCACTACCACTACCACCACCACCACCACCACCACGACCACCAGAACCCCCGGCCCGCACAGCGCCGCGCATGCGCCCTGCGGCCCCTCACCGTTGCCGGGTGACTCGCCCTCCCCGCCGTCCTCAGCACACCAAGCAGCAGGTTCCTCCGCCTCTTCCTACCCCGGGGTCCGGCGCGGGCCTCTCCTCTCCGCTCCGCTCCGCTCCGCTCTCCCGCCGCAAGGCCTCGCCACGCCGCCGCTGTGCCCTCGCCCCGGGCCGCCCGTGCCAGTGCCCCCTCAGCCGCTCGTTGGCGCCTACCGCGAGCGGGGGGTCCCTCAACGGTAGCGGCGGCAACTGGCGGAAGTGACGCGCTGACTGACAGGTGCAACGCGCGCGCGGCCCCCTTCCCCTCTCCTCTTCCCTTCCCCTCCCCTCAGGGTCACGTGTCGAGGGGAGGGGCGGGGCCGCGCTGAGGGGAGCTGAGGGGACCCGGGTCCTACCGGGAGCAACGGCTCCGCCTCAGGCCATCGGCGGGGCCCCGGGCGGGAATGGCTCGTCAATAAGGGGGAACCGACGGCCTCGGGGCTGCTGTCCTTTATGGGTGCGAGCTGCCCGGCGGCTCAGGCACTGCAGCACTGCACCCCGGGGATCGGCGTTTTTCTGTCGGTCATCAACCTTACAATGACTCAGACATCCGCCCGCTGCGGGCTGTGAGGTGACCAGAGAGTGATCACTACTTAGAATCACAGGATGGTCTGGGTTGGAAATGGCCATAAGATCATCCAGTTCTAACCCCCCTACCATGGGCAGGGACACCTCGCACTAACCATGGCACCAAAGCTCTGTCCACCCCGGCCTTGAGCACCACCAGAGATGGAGCATTGGCCACTCGTTGGGTAACCTGTTCCAGTGCCTCACCACCCTCACGGTAAAGAACTTCTTCCTTATATCCAATCTAAGGTTTTTATTAGGAACAGTTTCTTCACTGAGTAGTAGTCAGGCATTGGAGCAGGCTGCACAGGGACGTGGTGGCATCACCATGCCTGGAAGCGTTCAAAGCCATGTAGACCTTAGAGACATGGGTTAGGGGTGGCCTTGGCAGTGCTGGGGAGCAGTTGGACTTGATCTTAAAAGTCTTTTCTAACCCAGCTGGTTCTGTGATTCCCCATTTCTCGCAACCGTATTTAAGTATTTCCTGAATCAAAGCATCAAAAGTGATCGCTCCCAAACATTTCCAACGTGTAAGCACACCAGAAGTAATGAAGTGCCCTTTGACAAAGAGCTAATGCGTCCCAAAATACACAATTTAGCACCCTTAAACTAAGTCAGCATAAGTTAGTAAGGAGATGCAAGCTTGCAGTAGAAGTGTTAAAAGCCATGCCTCGCAGTCTGCGGTTCCCACATGCCATGTTGTAACTACAACAGCTTTCTCTGTCATGAGATGCCAGCAGCCATAGAGCTGGGTTTAATAAAGCATTTAAGGGAGTTTGGATTTTAGTTCCTAAAAAACTCCTTGCAGAAAAGCTTCCCCCCGGTGAAAAACTGACAATATGTGACAGGAAAAAAACCCCGATAAGATGTAGGATGGGATTAATGGAAACTAAAGTAGTGCCAATAGCTGCGAGGGGTTTGCTTCAGGTTTCCCAACATGGATTCTAAAATTTATCTAGACATACTTAACACTCATTAAGAGGTTTTACATTTAGAATCCAGAGAAGGGAGAATCACAGTCCCACAGTAGATTAGGTTTTAATCAGATCTAAACCTATATTTCCCTATTAGAAGGTGTGGTATCATTAGGAGGTGCTGTATAAAGACAATACAATGGGTAGGGCCAGGGGATACAGGGCTCTCGGGAGCTCTGTACTTGCAACCAGTCTGCTTCTACAGCAGATTTCTCCACTTGGAACAGCTAATGACATTTCCTCGCATCAGACTGAGGTTTCCGAGCTTGTATTTTGTATACATAGCTGTGTTCTTTCTGATTCGTTTAGCCTCATCAACAACAATAAAGATACTGAATCAGAACAAGCTGGCAATCCTGTTGATGAAACACGGGAGAGCGCAGACTCCAGCTGGCTCTTCAGCAGATACGTTGGCCGGTTGACAGGACTAAAACGGCAAGAAACCTGACATACAAAACACATGCAGTGCGAGGAGACAGACAGCAGAGGCAGGCAGGTAGGCAGGCACTGCACAGCACCTGCTCACTGGTTTGGAGTCCAAGGCAGCGTCTTCCCTCCTCTGAACTGGCTCCGAGTGCCCCGTTTCGTGCCAGCTTACGCTACCTCCCTTTCAAACGCTTCCAATGTTCCTTGCAGGGGGCAGACATATGCAGTCCCAAGCTGCCATTTTAGTCTTTTCTGCTCACTTTGTGTTCTCGCTGCCTGTTTCTGAAAGGTTGAGGAGAACCTGGGAGTCCTGATGCTTTAGACACCTTTTCTAAGACAGTAAATATAAAGAGAAGGAAGACAATGACTTAATGAGTAGCTGCGTGGTTACACCCCCAAAATACAGCTAATCAAAGGTGTCTGCCTCTCAAATCACTGCTTAAAATTACAATGGAGCAATGTGGGATCTGTCCCCTTGTGTTTATCAGGGCACAGGTCAAATTTTATGGTAGCATTTTGTAACTTCCTGCTTACACGACATGCAGGTAGACACCCAGCCCAGTTTCAGCAGGCTAGACAAGACAGCGTGGCGCTCACACAGGCTCATTTCCCCCTCTGAACACACAGGCACATGCAGAGCATCCACAGTACATGCAATGCATGGCTGCAGTCCCACCATATGACATAGGACTACCACCCACATGTCAGGACATATGACAATGCACTGCCCTGCACAGCAACAAGGCCCCAGTGTGAGGCTGCTCACAAGTAGAGGGAAGCATTTCCCAGCTGCTGCCCAACTCCAGGAGCTTGGCAGATGCCCCTGGCTCCTAGGACCAAGGAGCCAGAGTGCCGTGGCATCCCTGTCTCATCAGTAAATCCATATCCAGAGCCACACCATGAAGGGTGAGCCATTTCTATAGCTCTGTGTGTAATCTTACATGTCCAGCCAAGTTCCTTAGCCTAAAACTGTTACAGAGATTCTACAAAGTAACTTGGTAGATCTGAGATGATTACTAATAAAAATATCCCATGTTTTCAGGAAAAGCTATTCATGACCACAAGTGATGATTACCAGTATTTGTTGCAGAAGAACTGAAGCTATATTTCCCATATCAGTCCTGACTTAGTACAACCTTACAATAAATATTCTCTGAACACTTGCATCTCCACTTAAGTCTAATTCCAGCAACAGCCCTCATCAGAAAATTAAGCCAATGAAAGTAAAATATCCCTATCCCAACTGTGCTCACTGTTGTACAAGGCTTCGTAGAAACTAAGCTAGAATACTCCAGAATTTGAATCAATTTTGCAATGCCTCCTGATCCTTTGAAAGCTGGTGTCCTGCCATGCAATTCTTTGCCTTCATGCTGGGTCATTATCTTACTAGAAGGAAATGGAAATCAAAGCAAGACACTGTCTGCTGTAATACCTGATATTGCGTGCCAGCAGCTTTTATTTCGTGGGAAAATTATCCCTATGTCAGCAAAGTATTTACTTCTGGGTTTAATTTTTCATTTACAAGCAAATTATTTGATATACTATCATGGACTTGGAAGTGCTCAATTTGTGTCTTAAATGGATCCTATTGATACCTTGCAAAAGTACTGACAAGCATGAGTCCTTTCAATACCAAAGAACTAACAAACAGTAACAATTTCCAGCTAGCTGCTCTGTAAAATGCTTTTCCTTCCTGGATATTTCATCCAGAAACAGGGATATGCCCCCAAACAGAGTCTTTTGCAGCATTATAAAGTTTTCTAACAAATACTTTATTTCAGGATGCCCAGCACAAGACCGTTGGCCACGTTGGATATCCGTAACTCTTCATGGAGGCTCCTGAATCAGCAGGTATCTAATTCTTCTGACTCACAGAGTCCGAGCAGAGCACTTAAGAATCAAAGTCCTTTCTAAAGCTTTGCCCTGCATTAACAAATGAAGCTTCACAATGCTCAAGCAGATACCTGAAAGAATCCATTTCATGGAAACAGAAACCAGCACAGAGAAAACCATTCACCTTCTTGAGGATTGTCTGCCATTACTAGACACATACATAAGGATGTTTTGAAACTGAATTAAATCTCAAAGACACATCTTCCAAGTAAATGTCAGACATTTTTACTCATTTTTCTACCAGAGTTCTGTGATTAAAATAGAAGTTCAAAGGATAAGGTTTTTTTTTCCTGCCTCCTGTATCTGAACCTTTGTTTTGTTAAGATCTGTCTTTAAACTAGAGATCTAGGAATATGGGGCAAATGTGTCTTTTAAGGCTTGTTCACATTTTAATTGCATGCTTACAGACTTAAGAGGAGATAATTCTTCCCGTCTTGAAATTCAAGACATTGAAAGGTTAATTCAATCTTCTCAGTTCCATTTCCTTCCTTCTGTTCCTCTTCCCACACTCCCTCCCCCCATCTGTAGACAGCTGAGTTCTTTGAATTTTATGCAAGCTAGTATTCATCCAAAGAGAAAAATCATTCAATGTATGCATCAGACAAGCAAAAATGACAACATGGCACACTTTCAGTTTTTACTTCCTCTTTGCTTTTCTTTGCATTCACCAGTTTGGGCTGTGGATGTGAACTCATGCCCTAAAGCTAGTCTCTGCTTGAAATAAAGCGTGAATATCCCCATCCCTTCTGAATTCCCTTTCCTTGCACTCACAAGGATCTTAAGCTGCTGTAGTGCTTTAACCTTAGTTAGGGAAAGCTCGAGTTCAAGTTAGTACAATTTGTCTGTTGCCAACACAATCACTCTCTGCTGCTCCCATGTTATTTCATGGTGTGGCCACTCACACGCAGAGTATACTGACTCCAGAGGAGTCAGTTTGAGTGTACAGAGCTCAAGCTAACCCTCCTAAGAAGACATAACCTTAATAAGACTGCAACCCATTTCTGCACATTATATACATTTGTAAAGAAAAAGCTGTAAAAGTACTCACTGAAAACATTCTAGTTTGGTCAGGTTGTAACTGTTCACTTTGGATGCCCTGAGAGGAAAATAATCTCATCTTTCCTGTTTTGTTTTTTGTGTGTGTGGTTTCTTTTCACATTTTAGAGAAGAAAACCAGTGTTTAATATAGCATACTTGCAGCATACTGCAGAACAGGGAGAAGGTAACAGATGTGGAACTTACTGATTACCCCTTCCTTACACAGTATGTAATACCTCTGCATTATAAGATTATAAAATTGGAAAATGATTTTGGTAACAGGTAAAGTATGAAACCCTTCAAGTAGAAATACAGGTTTCGATTCTGGAAATTGCTCAGAGAGATCAACTAGAAAAGACACTCAGCTGCTTAGTCTTGTTCCTCTGCTTCAGCAGCCCTGTTTCCTGAAGCAGCTGAAAAACTTCAGGGTTTATCTTCTTTTCCCCAAAAGACAAAACCTACTTAAGCGGCCAGGAGATGCCAGGGTGCTGAAACCAGAATGATTTGGCAATAAAAGAAGTGCTGGGTAGGCACCCATCAAAACTACATCCACAACCCTGTAGCCCAGAGGCTGAGGATACCATGGCCTCCATATCTACCCCAGCAAAATGTAGCATGTAATCAGACCCGCTGTCTTTTTCCCCCAGACAAAACGATAATGTGAAGTTAGTATAAAGTTAGCAGATCTCTGGATTGCATTAGTTTAACTTGGATTAGGTTGTTTATCTATTTGTTGCACACTGGGTGCCACAATTTGATCTTCATAAGGAATGGTGATTTTCCTTTTGTTTAAAGCAAAAGGAGTGAGAAATGCAACAGTGGATTCTTTAGCTCCAGAGCAGCTGCACTGAGAACCGTGATTGAGCACACTCCCCACGCTCACCCAAGACTTCTCTGTCTTACCCTTTCCCTAAGAGCTGCTGTTTGCAAGAGAGGCTTCTGTCCAGAGACAGAGAGACAAAAAAGACTGTTAGTAAAGACTGGGATTCACGCTGAACTAGCATTTCTAGACCGTATTCATCACAAACTGTCATGTGCTCCATAGCATAGTGACTAATGTGACTAACATATCACATGCTTCTTTCCCCACCCTGTCTTTGGAAGAGAAGCATGTGCATGGACATTTTGTATTCATTTTTCTCCCTTTAATAATGCACACATGGATCACCACATTTTGCTAGAAAAGGCCAGGCTGAAGCCAAGTACTTTCTGCTGAAGACACACTTTGGGTCAGCTCTCAAGAAAGTTCTGTTGCAAGAATCCCATCTGCTTAAACTTGTAAAAGATCACCCCCACACTGAGTTTTATAAGACCAAAAAAGAGAGGGAGAGGAAATTTCCACTCTCACTAGCTTATGTTTTCTCTTTCTGCTCTTTGCTGCAAGGGGACTCCTAGTAGAGGCTGTCTGAACTCCAGAGCTATTTGAAAACCTGGGGTTGGAAAAAATAACCCAAGCAGAAAGACTATCTACAAACATCCTCTCCCCTCATCCTTTGTATGCACCTACCCTTCAGGTTCAACAGTCTCAAGGAAATGAAGCACCTTAGTTCATGATAAAACATACAGGAGAAGACAAGAGTCGAGCATTTACCCAGCAGCAGCACAGCATTACGGCAGACACTCTGCCAAAGAGAGATCATTCCTTCCTTACACCCCCAGGATTCATTGTCTCTTAGCCTGGGAACCTGTCTCTGTTCCCAAACATGGATATTTTTTTTGGCAGCAAGACGGAACAAAAGGCACAAAGAGAACTAAGAAAACCCTTTCAGTGAAGCTGTAGTCTTTTTTTTTCCCCTCCTGTTCCCCTAAGGACGGGAAACCTAAGGATAGTTTAGAACACATGCAATCCTGCTACCTTTCTGGAAGGTGCTCAGTGCTCATAGGGACCTAAAGGAATGAGGGTGCTTGTAGATTCTAGCTCAGCCTTTGACCTTGAATAATTAATCCCCTACCTTTAGCACCAAAAATACCACAAGGTTTTGAAAATGAAATCAGTTATCTTTGAGTGGGTGTGGTATTTCAAGACAGCACTAATGTGATTATAAAATCAGTTGTGTCAGCTCATTGGCTAAGCTACAGACACTGATCTGCTCGAGCGTCTGTTCCTCGAACCGGCTGCTCGCAGTAGGGTGCTTTGTCCCTCCTCAGCTCCACATAGAAGGAGATGTGATCTGATTCCCACTGGTGCACCAAACAGAAAGAATACCCTTCTTCTTGCAGTTGCCCACCTAATCTCCATGAACCTTGGCATTCTCAGGAGCACAGCATCCTCCCAGCCCACTGAAAGGCCATAGCCCTCATATATAGGTCCCTGCAGCCCCAGCTCTGCGCAGGCTGGCCTCCGTCTTTCCAAGTGACGGCAGCCAAGTGGCAAAGCCAAGTGGCAGCAGGCTCCAAACCTCCCAGCCACACTCTTCAGACTCTCCTCTGAATGTTCCTTTGCACTTGAGCTGCCTTTAAACATTCCCTCTCACCTAATACTGCATCCTGGTAGCAAATATTTGTTTTCCCCTGTTTCTCTGTGGGTGTCTGACAGGCACTCAGTGCCTTGTGCTGCCAGGCACGGTTTAATGCTGTCGGTGGCAGGTGACTCACTGGAATCAGAGGTGTCAGTCCTGGAAGGTTTGACTCAGCTCTCCATTCTTTGGCAGCAGATTGAAATTAAATGCACTTGCCATTGTATCCGAGGCAGCTTTTCAGACACAGCCACACCAGTATGGCTTTACATACATTATGTGTATGGGATCTGTAAAGTTCATTGCTGAGGTTCATTGCTCCCACAGTTGTCCCAAGGCCAGGTAAATGCCATGTTCCCCTTACCGAAGGTGGAAACTGAAATCTTGCTATTAAAAGCCTTCCAAATAACTGCTCTGCTGCTCATATAGCAAGAATATTTCATTCTGAAGTGAAAGCAAAAGGCAGCTGAGTAAAATCTTACCTACCCATCTTTTGCTTCTGTGACCAGCCTCAATGCAGTACACAATGCCCTCAGGCCAAACTCCAAACTTTCCTTATGAAAACCACAGAAGGCTGTCTGTCCAGCACAGAGTATGTAAACATGAGGTTTGAACCCAGCATGAGCTGTGTTTGACCACAGTACTGAACTTGAAAGCTACAGAAACTTGACAAGGACTTTATGCAATGGTCAAGATGTTTGTTATGGAGATGAGTATCTACTAATTTCCACTGAGGATGAGAACACGTAATTTCTCATCATTATGTTACATGGACTAACACCGTTGCACCTTCCTGAGAAACCCAACCTAATATCAATTTAAAACCTGCTCATCTGCAGCCTAAAACCACAAACAATAGATCTCAAACTGTTTTTAATACTAGGTCTGCTGATAAATCATGCAATGAAAATGGTGGTGATGGAAAAACAAGCATGGCCACCCAGTCTCTGTGTGTTTAAAAAAGCCTGAGCTCTGCTGTGGATGTGAGGGACCCAACCTGTGACTGCCCACAGAAAGCCAGAAGTGAGTTTATTCTGCTTTGCTGTCCTGAACACTTCATTTCTACATCTAAGAGAATTTGTGCCAGTTTAAAAGTTTAAGAGGTTTTGCCCTTGTAGTCTCTTCATAATAAGAATTCTAATTGTTACTTGTAAAAATGGACAAGTGTTTAGAAAACTGAAACTGATGAACTGCCTGAATTCATGAATCATTCAGATTGTGTTTTATAGTCTTTATTATTTTATTATCTCCTAAATCTGGTGTCTACCCTAACAAGAAAAGGTTAATGCTGTCTTTTTAAACAGACACTAAGACTGTTCAGTGCCAAATCTCAGCCATGGCTTACACTGAACATTCACCCAGTGGCTGCCTTCCTGCTTATTCCCAGGGGGTTTTGGTCAAGAGCACAGCTTTCTATTTTTGGCAATTGGTTGGGCTAATGGGATGGAAGCAAAGGAACTGAGTCCTGTCCCTAGGTATGACTGGTACTCACACATTGATTTGGTGGGAACAGTCAGGCAAGTGCAGAGGTAACTGAGCCAGCCTGGACAAGTCACTGGAGCTTTTAGGCTAACAGAAATGTAGGTACATTGCTGCCAGGACAGTCTTAGGTCAGGAGGCAGCACAGCCAGCTTTGCAGAGGGCTGAGCTCAGTGGCAACCTCTGTCAGTGCTTCACCACCCTCACAGGGAAGAGCTTCTTCCTAATGTCTAACCTAAATCTCCCCACTTTTGACTTAAAGCCATTACACTTTTAAGAGACCTTTTAAGGAGACCTCTATGATCATCCAATCCAACCACAAACCTGTTAATTTTGTTAATGTAATCAAACACTGGAAGAAGAGGTCCTTAAAACCATGTTTAAACACATTAAAACCATTTCCTCCACACACACAAATCGGTCTCAAACCCACTCCACCTAAGCATATTATGCAAACAGAAAGTTCCACAGCACCTTTCTGGTGCTCTTAGTCAGCCATGAGACATCTCTGTCTCCCCGAGCTCATTGTCCAGGCTCCCTTTAGAGTCAGTAGAAAAACCCGGATACTCGTAGGGCACTAACTTTGTCCTAAGTTAGTTGCCTCCCTATTGATTAGGGTCTAGGCAAGTAATTCAGATGGAGACATCTAAAGTTGCACAAGGGGAAACCCTTGCTGGCATCTGGGGAAGCCCTTCCAAACCCCAAAAACGATTCCCCAAGTTTTGTGCTGCATAGCTAGAGCCATGTCAGGGTCGCAGGGATGTCCTCAGCCCTCAACAGCAGCAGCTCTAGCAGGTGGCTATTTGTACATCTAATATAAAATGTCTTGCAAATACAAAGGCTGATAGCCATTTGAAAGGTTTATGTGGGTTATACCATACAGCACCACAGTGCATTCTCCCTTTGCTGCAGCTGAAGATGTTCCTACAAGCAATTCCAGTGTGGTCAATGCCACCAGTATGGGTGTAGAACAGGGAGCAAGCAGGTTGGGGATGATCCCCAGATACGATGCTGAATGCACCCAGAATCTCCCTACAAACTAATCCAGAAGCAGCAGCCCTTAAATGATCTCAAACCTCCCTTTAACTCCAAACCTCAGCACTGTGAAAGAAGAGCAGGAAGGGAAACTTCAATATGATCATCCTGGTAAACGAGGAGAAAGGCAAAAAGCTGTACTTTGGCAGTTTCCCACGTCCGTTTTCCCATTTCCCTCCCTCGTGCACTTTCTGCAGCAGCAATCTGTCCTTTCCCTGAAGGCTGAGCAATCCCAGCACTAAACTAATCAATATTAATAGCGATGGGCTCGGGCGGGGGGAGGAGAGGAGGGATTACCCTGACCTTTTTCAACTCACACTGCCTCAGACGGCCACCCAGCAGCCGAGGAGAGAGCAGCAGACGGTAATGCCATGTGGGTTTGGTAGCTTGTAATTGCTTTTATTTCCCTGTGAATATTTTGCTTCTGTTGTCTCAGTGCAGATAGCAATGAAATCTGATTGTCTTCAGGAAGCTAAAAATACAATTAGATCAGCCATCTCCGGGCCGAACCTCGCCTTGATGGGAAACTCCATGGAAATAAGGGGAATAATGGCCAGGCTGGATTTTAACTTGAATTTCTGTTAAAACCAAGGATTGGATTAGGGAAGTTTTGACGGGTGAAGTGCTGAATGCCTTTGTGCTTTGTGGATTTCTCTTCTAATAGAGTATAATCAAACCCATTGAGCCTGCAACTGGGATATTGAGTGCGAGAGCAAACAAAGGGCTGGGTGAACTGGTCCCCTATTGTTAAGCACAAGTGTCCACAGCAGCTCATCCAGATACAGGGTATGTATGCACTCAGGCAGGGTGCTTGGAGTAAAGACAAACCTTATGAATTAAACCCAAATCAGAATTGAAGCTCTTTGTTCAGATTGGATTTGAGGTTTATTGTAGACGTTTCTGGTTAGCAGCATTGCTTAAAATAGAGGTTTACGTCAGGAGGCACCGTGGGTTATTGGCAGTTAATGCATTGTCTTGTCTTTACTGATATGCTTGTTTCCATGTGTAAAATATGATTTTTCTTAGAAATTGCAGCTGAGAAATATAGATAAAATCCTATTTATGCCTTTCCTCCTTAACTCTGTAAGAGGCAAGCCTCAGGGAGAGGTCCCAGACCGAGGTGTTAGATTTGGGGGGATGGGGGGGGGGGTTATTTGAATAAGCATTTTGATGGTATTCTCGTAGTCTTGCTTCCGAGCAGCAAATGCTTTGCAGATGGCTGAAAGCACAGCACTGGTTAATGGAGCCCCGGGTGTGTTTTTCCTTTCTTTGTCAGCACCCACCATGTCCGACAAACCAGATTTTGCAGAAATCGAAACATTTGACAAGACCAAGCTGAAGAAGACAGAAACCAGAGAGAAAAATCCACTGCCCACTAAAGAAAGTAAGTGCTTACGAGGCTCTTTGAACTACGAGCGGCAAGGACACAATGTGTAATGCAGTTCATATGCAAAATGAATACTAATCACAGGATTACAGGCTCAAACTCATCCCTGACTTTAACTGGGGATAATACTAAGACTTGTACTCTGTGTTGGGCTGCCAAGGATACGACTAGTTGTAACCAATGGTATATTTTGCCTGGAAAAGCCTTTCTGATGGGATTGCTCTTGCTTCTGCTAAAAGCAAGACGAGTTTTTCTGCTACTTGCATGTAACAGGATCAAACTGTTTGTAATTGCCATGTTACCAGCCTCTTTGGAGGCACAAAAGCACAGGGGAACCCTTCTGTGTCCCTGGCAGCATCCCCAAAGTTGCCTGGGGTCTGGATTTGATATTATCAGGCAGATGAGCTGCTGCCCCCCACTGGTACCTGCTGCCAGCCCTGGCCATGAATGATCCAGGCACCTTCTCTGAGAGTAAGGCTTCAAGAGAAGCCCATCATCATCCTCATCTACCAGGCAATCTTCCTTAAGAAGGAAGTTTTCCTCATGCAGGATCATGTCCCATACATGCACTGTGCACAGGCAGCCAGATGTTGGTTGTAATTCCCATTCAACATGCCATTTCACTCCATTTAGACCGGACTTTGTGAGCAGTTTCCTTCATAACACTATCACTAACCACTTAGGGTGTGTTAATATTGATAGCCATGGAGACACACTGTCCCTCAACATAAGATACCTGCTTTTTCCTGGTTTATTATCCCTACCAATGCTCAAGCTGTAAATACAAGATGAGGTTTGCACATCATGAACTTCCTGCTCCGGCAGGGGGATTGGACTAGATGATCTTTTGAGGTCCCTTCCAATCTCTAACATACTGTGATACTGTGTGATACACCCTACATGAGAATGAGCTGGCATTTCCAGGGTGGCCAAAGAGAGAAAGTGGGGATTTGCCATCCCCTGGCTTTAAAAATGGCCACAGGAAAGTGTATCCTACAGAATCATGACAATGTTTATTGAATGATGGTTTTGTTTCCTCTGTTTGTCTGGCAGCTATCGAACAGGAAAAGCAAAGTGAAAGTACAGCCTAAGCGTAAAGCTGAAGATGTGACTGCTGCTTCTTCAGTGGGGTTTTGGCTTCCAAGTCGGGTTGTTTGTTTTGTCCCTCCCACCCCCCAAAATGGGTTTATTGCCCATTTATTTTAGCAAACATTTGCTCATTTAATGTTCCCCGGGGAATAAGTTTGTTTTGTGTTTGTTGAGCAAGAGACTGTGTATTTGTACTCTTAAAACTATAATCCCAAATTCTGTATCAACCCCATTACTTGCCAAAAAAAGCGCAATTTGCATTAAAATTGTTGTCCTAAACCTCACAATAAACAGGTTTCTTCTGATCTTGAGCTGTCTTTGAGCCTTGTAGAAATAGGGTTTACACTGCAACTCCTACTAGCATCCTTCTTCCTCTGTTTGCACTGCCACAGCACCTAAAGAGCACACCCAGGTCAACCCAGCCTGGCAGCAGGTGTGAATACGATGGGAAGCTGCTGGCTTGCTTCAGTCCTATCCAGCAGCAGGTTAGAGGCTTATAAATTCCATGGAAAATTGAGATTGGGCTGAGCAAATGCTCAGATTAACATCCCAAATGGGAGCAGGGCTGCAGCACCCTCTCCACAACATCTTTTCTGTCTTCAGCCTGTCAAGATCCAGTCAACCTTGGGACAAGGGCAGCACATGTAGCCTTTGGCCTATCTAATATCAAGCAATGCAGGAAGGTGGGAGAAGGAAAGAGAAGTTGTTACTGCACTGATTTCTGGGATGAGGAGGAGACCTTCAGCAGCACAGGGGCATAGGACACACACCTTCAAAGGAAGCAGGGATGCTCTAAATCTCCATTGCTGGTGGTGCAATAACATCGCCACCTCACTGCATCCTCACTATTGGCAAAACCAGACCCTGGTACCAGCTGGGGGACTCTCAATTACAGCGTATCACATTATGGCTGGAATTAATTTGCAGTCATGTTAGAAAGCAAGTGCTTACCCTGGGAAGGTGAACTGCTGTCCCTGGAGCATCAGTGGTACTACTTGTGCTGTGAAACAGGAATGATTCTGTGTACTTCCACAGGTTCCTCTGGGTTTACACCTGCACAAAGCGAGGCAGAAACCAGAAGCAAATGGTCATGGTGATCTTTAGAAAGGCCTTGTTTACTTCAGGGTGGTTTGACACTTGACATTTAACGGGAAGAGTCACAGCTGCAATTAAACAATGGCAGCGTAGCCACAGAAGGGCTGACTTCTGGTGCCAACAGAAAGCAAACAGAGGTGGCCAAGAGACCGCAGGGAACAGAGCATGCAGGACTGGGGATTGGAGCTAAGGCTTTGTTAATGGCAGGGGAATTCAAAGGAGCAAAAAGTCTGCTGCCTCCATCACCACTCATCAGTTCACTGGTGCTGCTGCTTTCTTTCCATAACCAAGGGTTTCTGCACATTGTCCTTGGAGAACCTCACTCCCCTTGGTGCCCGATTCTAAAGGTTGGGGTATTTTTAGGGTCTGCTGGGTTTACTAATACTCATTTTTATGTAGAAGGTGAATAATGTGAGCAACAAGGAACACAGTGCTATTTTCTTTGTGACTCACACCCTCCTCTCATGCCTATGGGTCAAAGAGCCTTTGACATTGTTTAAATATTTGCCTTGATGATGGCTCATTCATGGAGAAGGAGCTCAGAAATTGCACTTGGAGCAACACCACCAGCTAGAAACCCGTGCAGGTAACACCATAGAATCATAGAATAGTTAGGGTTGGAAAGGACCTTAAGATCATCCAGTTCCAAACCCCCTGCCATGGGCAGGGACACCTCACATTAAATCATCTCACCCAAGGCTCTGTCCAACCTGGCCTTGAACACTGCCAGGGATGGAGCATTCACAACCTCCCTGGGCAACCCATTCCAGTGCCTCAGCACCCTCACAGGAAAGAATTTCCTCCTTATATCCAATGTAAACTTCCCCTGTTTCAGTTTCAACCCGTTACCCCATGTCCTATCACTACAGTCCCTAAGGAAGAGTCCCTCCCAGCATCCCTGGATTACTCACTGCTGTGCCACAGGGTGATTTTTAAGCACCGCATTGCGCTCAGCGGGTACCCAGCCCGCAGACCAGACTCCCTCCTTGGTTTTGCCAGGAGGCAGAGCTTTGTTCCACACAACGACCTCCCTCCTTCTCTGCCAGCTCAGGCACCTGCCAACTCGCTCAGCACAAAGCACTGTAAAGCACTAAACCCCTCTTCGGCAGGGCTGAATCAGCGGCCAGTGTCTGTGCACAGAGGTTCTCCCAGAGACTCAAGGTCCGGGCTGCATCCTCAAGCATACACTTTGTGGATAGAAGGGAAGGAGGGTGTAGCCAGAGCAAGGAAACAACAGAGATTGTCCTCTCATGTTTGCACAGGTACAAAAGGCCAGCAGTGTGGCTGTAAGGGGTGATACAGGAGATCAGAGCACTGCTGACAGCTCTGGAGATACCAGATTTATCCAAGCACTTGGCTCGGGGCTGCTCCCGGTGCCACTCATTCTGCCCCCATGAAACCTCCTCCTGATTTAGGTGTCTGCATTTAAAGCCTGACACATAAATCCACACTCCCAGTGCTTGTAGTCACGCCTCACCCCATTGGGAAGGTGATGGAGATGAGACCCCAGCCAGGCTCCCCACCCCTGGATCTGGCTGTGGGAGCTGTAGGGCTCAGCACAGAGCGCAGCAGCTGCACACCAGGAAGAACTCCACCAGGATAAAGGCCACATCTTCCCACCTCTCCCCCTCCTGCCCCAGGTGGAACTCAGCTTTATGGCAGGATCTGGGGGCTTGCTTTTACTTTTAACAGGTTAAGAGAGGCCCAAGGACACGCAGTTACCATATCCTGATTTGAGAAGCATCCCCTTTGCTGCTCTGTGAAACCACTTCAGCCCAGGAACAGGAGCAAGAGATTAAGATCTGCCAAGAGCAGGGGCAGGCCTGTCTCCCTGTTATCTTAACCAAAGAGCAGCGCAGCCCTTATCTGAGGGGCAGGCTGGGGACACAGACCAGGAAACTGCTCATGTTTAAGGCTGAGACAGTGAATTTTCATCATTCCAGCCATTGTACTGAGGAAATGTTTGTTCCCACCATTGGCAGGGAGCTACAAACCAAACCCCTTATCCACACCTAGGGAACGTGCTCTGGTGTTAACCTGCTCCTGACCTTCACTCCCCAGAAGAGCATCCCCACTCACCAGGAGCTGTGATCCCTTCCCATACACCATGCTGGGGGCAGGCGAGCTGCAGGCAGCTTCATCAGGAAGCTCAACCTGCTCCAGGTGGGAAGCTTAAATACTTGTACCAATGAGCAACAGCCCTTTGCTGTTTGGGTCCTTCACAGAAGGAGACATCACCTTGCAACCCCTCTAAATGAGAACCTTCCATGCTCCTCCGGTTACAGCAATCATTGTATGCTGATACACACCTGCTTCCTTGGCACCAGCGTGAACCCAGCCTTACCCTGCATCCCAGGGACAGGGCCAGCCCTCCTGGGATCATGGCTGTGTCCACGTGCCCTGTGAGTCACCTCTAATTGCTCTGCACTGTCTCAGGGAGCAGAGGAAATCCACATTCCTGTCACTGTTGCACAGGAGCTGGTTGGTTTCATAAATCCCATTAGCAGGCACTGGATAACAGTGGAACCCTGGACCTAGCCCTCCTGAGAAGAGGGCACATGTTTGTGTGTCTTGGAGCCCAGCTAAAACCCCTGGAGATCCTGCCAGCCCCAGCTCAGGTGCCACACACTGAGCCCAAAGCATCTGTCATGTTGTTTCCCACATACATCTGGGTGTTCTCTCCTGTTTGGGTCATGGGCCCTGTGGCTGCTGAGGCATCCCGCAGCAAATCTTTAGGTCCTGCTCTGCAGTGAGGAAGGCAATCATCAGCTTTAAACTGAAAGAGGGGAGATTTAGATTACATGTTACAAAGCTCTTCCCTGCGAGGGTGCTGAGGCGCTGGCACAGAGAAGCTGTGGCTGCCCCATCCCTGCAGTGCTCAAGGCCAGGTTGGACACAGGGGCTTGGAGCAAGCTGCTCCAGTGGAAGGTGCCCATGCCCATGGTAGGGGTTGGAGCTGGATGAGCTTTAAGGTCCCTTCCAACCCAACCCATTCCATGAAGATGAAGACTTCAGTTTGCTGGTTAAGACAATCACCTCTGTGTTCACTCACTGTCAGTGCTGCTCCTGACACAGCACAGACCTTTCCTGTGAGGAGAATGGGGAGAGAAATGAGGGGAACGAGGACCCTGACCCAGGCTCGGTGGGATCAGGGCCTGAGCTGCATCCACCCGGGAAGGAGGATGCCATAGGAGCAGAGCCAGGGAGGCAGCCATGGCAGCAGGAACTGGAGCAGAAGCACACCACCTCACACTAAACCATGCCACCCAAGGCTTCGTCCAGCCTGGCCTTGAACACCGCCAGGGATGGAGCATTCACAACCTCCCTGGGCACCCATTCCAGTGCCTCAGCACCCTCACAGGAAAGAATTTCCTCCTTATATCCAATCTAAACTTCCCCTGTTTCAGTTTTAACCCATTACCCCTTGTCCTGTCACTACAGTCCGTAAGGAAGAGTCCATTCCCAGCATCCCTGTAGGCCCCCTTCAGATACTGGAAGGCTGCTATGAGGTCTATGAGATCATCTCGTTGCACTTTGGTTTCACCACATGAGAGTCAGGAGTGGAGCTACCAACCTCCCTCATGCACCAGAGCCACCAGGGCAGCCTTCCTCCTGTTCACACCATCTCCATTAGTGCCCAGCAGTTACATGCATACAAGCGCTCCCGTCTGAAGGAACACTTTGCTGTGACACGGCTCCTCGTTGCTCTGAGCATGGCCAGGTGAACCACAGAGCCACAATACAGGCATTTCTTTTCCTCAGTACCACCTGAAAACCCAGGGATGGGATGGGATGGGATGGGATGGGCGATGAGCATTGAAACATCACTGGTGGTTGTTCCAGCAGGCGGGATCGCTGGGTGGCTTTATCCCTGCTCCTGCTGGAGGTACTGAAGCCTGTCCCATCCATACATCCCCCCCGGCCACCCGAGCCATACACGTCCCAACACAGCACGGGTGGGTGCTGGATGGGCTGGGATGTGTGTGTGGAGCAGGCACATCCCACCGGGGGGAGCCTTGTCACCAGCCTGCAGGGGACACTGCCCTGGGACATCATCCCTGTGGACATCATCCCTGCTATCCCCACCAACCCCTGCATCCTCTGCTCACACAGCGCTGCACCGCTGTGCTTGATCCCAGCACGGGGAGTTCTGCTCCATTTCCTTCTCTCAGTAACAGATGCAGGATGTGCTGTCAGCTTCCATCCTCAG